ATTGTTGTACGTGTAAATGAGAAAACTAAAATTTCATATTGTAAATGGCCACCTTATGTCAACAATAATGTAGCACTTAACTTTAATAGTAATATATTTATTTTATGTTTGGTAGCTAAAGGTTTGCGGCATAGATGAGAGGGAGGGTAGGGTATTTTGGGGATGGCCATGCAAACTAAGTCCTATTTGGGGAATTTATGTTTTGGACTCCTATTTAGGTATATTTGATATGTTTTAGTCCTATTTAGGTTTTTTTCCTGAGAAAAGGAAATTATGCTTCTCAAAAGGAAGTTGGTGACTTGCATTGAGAAAAAATAATTATACAATATTTCTCAAAGGAAGTTGTTGTGTGCCTTCTTCCCTCTGCCGAAATAAGAAAAAAACTTTCTTGTCTCGGAGATTTTTCTTCATCATCATAATTCTTATTCAAAACCCAATATTTTACACACCGAGTTCCTAAAAAAGAGGTAAATAATTTTTTTGAAAAGGATTACAACCTGTAATCCTCATTAGGACTGTCAACAGATAGCTGAAAATTTGATTACTGTTTGCATCCATATCAGTTTAAAGAGTAAATATCCGCATCCGGTTTAAACGGATATTATCCGTATCCAATTAAGGATATCCGGTTACTAAATGCATACGGATTTCGTAATTGTATATCTGATTTGTTTAAAATCCGATCCAAATGTGCATCCATTTAAATAACCATTCATCCGAATGTCCGATGCGTTATATATAGTTTTTCCTAATTTTTTTATGGGGGCAATATCATGGGTGCCCCATGTGGTTTACAAAAGGAGCGCCAAAACCCCCTACTTTCAAAAGTTATTTGTAAAACTCATGTAGTCTTTAAATAGTGCACAAACATCCCATCTTGCCTATTGTAGAAATGAAATGACATTTCTGTCCTTAGTTGTTCTCTATCTTCAAATTTCACTCTTTCTTTACATTTTTTGTTATACAAATAAATAAAATAAAATATACGCCCTCTTTCTCAAATTAAAATTTTTTCATTTATTTAATCTTCAAAAAAATAATACTACCTCCGTCCCGCTATATTCGTCCACTTTTGACTTTTGGAACTATTCATCTAAGCACTTTGACTCATCAAATTTTCTCAATGTGTAAGCCTAAATATAGTCATGTGTGATATTGTTTGATTTGTCTTAACATATAGATTATTAATATAGAATTTCTATAATTTTTTAATATACAAATTACAAGATAAAATGGATTAAAGAAGTCTATTGGATGGTGTGTAAAAATGAAAGTGGACAAATACTATGGGACATAAAAAGTATTTTTTAGAAAATGTTACAAAAATTAAATGAAATACACTTTTTCATTATAAGTAAAGGTAAAATAAATAAAATAAAAAATTGGATAACATATACTCACCTTGTTTCTAATTAAAAATTCTAACTTATTCGTTTTCTAAAAGTAAAATAATTTTTTAAGGACTTTAAAAAATGAATGACAGAAAGATGAAATAAAATATGGAGTTAAAGAAAAAGACTATTTTTTATATTTTTATTTCTTTTCATTACTTTTTTTAACTATTATTACTTTTTACTTTGTACATAATATTTTATACCATAGTATTTCATTTTTTTTGTAACATTCTCCAAAAAAATCTTTTGTTTTCAAAAGTACATTATGAAAAATTCTAATTTGAGATGGGAAATGTATATTTTATTTTATATATTTGTATAATAAAGGAAATTGAAATGGGAAAAATTCAAAATCGGGGAAAACAAAGGGCATAAATGTCATTTTTGCTATAAAAATAGATAAGGGGGGCATGTGTGCTCTATTTAGAAACCACAAGGACTTTACAAATAACTTTTGAAAACATAGGGAATTTTGACGTCCTTTTTGCAAATCACAGGGGGCACTCATGCTATTAAGTCTTTTTTTATGTTTATATTTCGTTTCTCTATTAATATTTTAAAGTATAAGACATTTTTTATATACGGAGTACAAAATAAATGTGTAGAAACATAAAAATATGTGCAAACATATAAAAATATGTATATATGTATGCTGTGTATATCTTTTTATCATATGAAGTTATTGTAAAATATCATAAATCATGAAAACAAAGAAAATAATTATCCCATAACAAATTATAATTGATTTAATAATAATTTGATTGTAATCTAATTTAAAATTAAAGTACTGTTTAATTTGATTTTAAAATATTAATCAAACCAATTTCCGAATGATACGATTTTGATTTTCAATTTGTTCACCCTAATCAGCATCCTCACTCCCGTAAGTCCGTAACTATGAGCACGCACAGACCCCTGCGGTTGTGGGCTGAGAACTCGGTCCTGTGGAGTGTGGATAGAGCTTTAGCTTGACATCTGCCATGATCTGTGTGAGAATTTATCCCTTACATCCATCCTTTTGTTTTACATTTAGAAAATAAAGTCCAAATTATCTGTTTTCCTGTGCCGGAGATGTTTGATTTCAGTTTAAATCTGGCATTCTCGAGTGTTTCAAATGCTAGTTAGGTAATAATCAAGTATTATAAACAGTTGCGCTTTGGATCATTTCGCCTGCTTAATCTTGCTTAATTAGTGATTTAATGTCACAAATTTAATTATTCAAATTTACACATCCAGTTCATATGTTAGACTATGTTTTTTTATTATGCATGTCTGAGTGTAAAGCTTGCAAATACCGAAAATACAATCGAGAGAGTAAAAGTTCTTGGGCTCTGGGTATATTAACTCTTGAGACACCAATAAAAGAAACAAGAAAATAAACATTTTGTTCATATTTTTAGGCAGTTATTTAGATTGAAGAAACTAAAATTCTGAATGACTTTGCAGAAGAAAAAAAATTAAAGGGCAGTCACAAACTTCGCGGAACAATTAAAATTTGGGCAGTTTTTAGCTGAAACTGGAAGAAAAGTTTTAAGAGCCTATATGTTCATCTCTGTTTGTGATTGTGAGGCTGAAAATCTGTTCAAACAAGAAATTTAAGGGGGGGTTTTTTTCCCTCTACAAACATAGAAACAGCCAGGCTGTTCTGGGCAGAAAAAAACATGACAGAATTGAGTTGGGAGTAGTTTTTGATGATTTGAATGCAATGAAAAGTGGTTGGGGTCATTAATATAATTAGGGCATGTTCAATAATGTGTAGGGTCATGGGCATGAATTTTGCTTGAATTGGCAGCTTGCAAGTGGTGCTTCAGGGCTGAGATGTAAAGTATGCCCATGCTGGAAATTCTGCAATATGCATTTGTGCTGAAATGTGTGTTGGCTGTTAAAGAATTGAAAATGTTTTTATGGCAAGTATTTGGCCGTATAACCCTTGAGGTGCTTATGGTTTATCATGCAATATGTTTTTCTATGAGACTTGAAAGGGGGAAAAATTGATTGAGTTTGAAGTATTCTTACTTGAAGAACCGTTAAGGAACTAATATAGATGACCTTAAATGACCCTTTATCTTTACATGAATGATTTCTGCTTGCTTACTTGAATACAGTCATTGTCTGTGGCTTACGTTTAGGAGTGTAGGTTAACTCGTTTCATTTACCTTAGATTAAAGGATAAGTTTATGTCACGTATGAATATGACATCGTGATAGAGTAGCTTTGTACTTTCTCTTGACATTGCTGTGGTGAGAATTTATTTCTCATGGAATCTTGAACATACTATAGTGAATATACTTTATCTTACTAAACATAACCAACTTTTGAGTAGTTTGATTTAAAAAGGTTGAAATTATTATCCTTTGTCTGCTAATTACTTTCATTGTTTTAAGAAAAAGCATTTTCTTACATGTGATTTCACTTCTACGTTAAAAGGGATGATTTTGCTTTGAGAACTAAAAATATGAAATACTCCGTAATAGTTAGTGGTTCAGTGATTGAGTGTCCCTGAGCTATGGCCGGAGCTGCCTTTTTCAGAGGCAGCCTTTTTCAGAGTGTGAACTTGGTGTAAGGAATAACAAGAATCCTAAAAACTCACCATGGGTGTGCTCATGGATGACAATCACATATGATTTATTCTATAGAATCACCTATGATTGTCATCCGTAGGGGTAACCGTGGTGGGTTATTAGCATGATCCGAGGAAAAAACCACACTTCAGTGTATTGCTAGTGTCTTTTTATGGAAGGTGGTAAATGATTTTCAGTTTACTGAAATGTGTTAATGCCATGTTACATTTTCAAAGGTTTGACAAATAATTGTTTCATTTTTTGTGTGCAGGAAATACATATTTGTACCATAGTCAGTTACTCTATCTCTAATAGAGGAAATTAAAAATGATGTAAAGAGTACTTATCATTCATTTATGATGGAGTGACAAAAAAGGCAAGAACAATAGATACAACACGAACTATCCTTAGGCCATCAAATGCACCGCACTGGTTTTTATCAAGTCTCAGGTCAGTCCGGGACCATACCAAATAACTCACAATCCTAATTTTTATGGTTATCACTAAGAGCATTTTTGGGTTGACATTTGAGTGATGCAGTGAACACCAAGATGCAATATTTCTGGTTTAATAGTACAACCAAGTGCATTAAAGCAAAGTAAGGAAATGTATATTTACGATTTGATTTTAGTCACTCCGGACTTGGTGAATTTTTTTTTTTGTTTTTGTTTTTTTGAACCCGCTACACTCTGGCCTGAGGCTCATTAACCTCGTAAACCCTGAAGCCCGTTAACCGAAGCAGATAGCCCAATTTTTGGGAACCCAACAACTTCCTACTTCTTGGGAGGTCATGCATCCCTTTTAAAATTAAACCCTAAATATATGTTGCTTAATTTTATTTTGAAGCGTTTAGTTGTACTTTTAAATTGGAAAATATTGTATTTTTTTTATCTTCCAAGAAAAAAGCTCTTAGTGATTTTCATTAAAATTATGGCTTTGCATTGTTTCGTTCCGGCCTGGTGATAGATGGAATGGAAAATGAAGTAAAGATCACTTATCATTTATGCTGGGCTGAAAAGAAAGGCAAGAGCAGTAGATACAACAAGAACTGTCCCACATAAGGGTTACAAATATGAATCTTGAAGAAGAAGAAAAAAATGGCAAACAGACACAATTAAGAGATGGGAAGAGGAGCACCATTCCAGCTCTTGAGGCATTCCAACAAAGGATCAATTATCCCTCCGTCACACATTGCGGCGAACACCTTTTCACACACCTCGCCAGGCGACTTCACCTTCTCTCCGGTCAACACCTCAGTTCCAAGCTCTTCGCGGACGAATTTGTACAGTGGGTAGGACCGGCACTCCTTGATTCTGTTAGGAATGGCTGGGTTGCCGCTCTCAAGGGCAGCTCGGGCACCCTCTACTTCCTTGGGCAGAACTGCCTTCAACTCCTCTTCAAAAGCTGCAATCTTGTGGAAGATAGATGTGGTCAAGTTCTTCTCAGTTTCCCCGTTCTGCAAGGCGTGGTCCACCAGGACTTGCCTCAGTTTCTGCATCAGTGAGTAGTTAGCGCTGCACGGGTCATCGGCGTACGCGAAAATGTACTCGCGGTCGACCACCCTGAGCAGGTCCTTCTCACAGAATCTGGAAGGGTGGAGTTCCCCATTGACGCCGGTGGTGAGAGTCCTCTTTGCCACTTGGCTGACCGTGTTCTTCACGCCATTCTTCAGGTTCTCCTCCAAGTGCCTCAGATCAACAGCCTGGCAGATCGCCACCAGATACGTGGAGGACATGAGTTTCAGCACTTCCACAGCTTCGGCCGTCTTCCTTGCTGAGATCAAACCCAAAGAGTTGACATCTTGGTTGTGCTGCTCTGCGCTCTGGACGTGGTTCGTGACCGGATTGGCCAAGAACTGAAGCTCAGAGCAGTATGAAGCCATTGCAATCTCTGCGCCCTTGAACCCATAATCAAGACTCGGGTTCCTACCCGCGGTGAGGTTAGACGGCAACCCATTGTTGTAGTAGTCGTTGACCAGCTCAGAGAACTGGGCGAACAGTAGCTTCCCAATGGAGGCAAGGGCTAGTCTGGTGTTGTCCATTGACACGCCGATCGGCGTGCCTTGGAAGTTCCCGCCGTGCAATGCCTTGTTCCTCGAGACGTCGATCAACGGGTTGTCATTCACGGAGTTGATCTCCCTCTCAATCATCTTGGTTGCCGCCCTTATGACTTCAATCTGTGGGCCAAGCCACTGGGGCGATGTTCTCAGAGCGTACCGGTCCTGTTTCGGTTTCTGCAACGGGTCGGTCTCGTGCAGTTTCTGCGCCGCTTTCATGTAATAGCTCCCATCCAGAATGTGCTCCATGATCGCCGCGGCCTCAATCTGGCCCGGGTGATGCTTCAGCTTGTGCGTCAGATGGTCAGTAAACTCCGGCTTCCCATTCATCACTTCCGCGAAAACGGCAGACAAAACCTCAGACAGAAGGGCAAGCAGATTGGCGTCGAAGAGAACCATGGACGCCAGACCAGACCCGACCGCAGTGCCGTTCACAAGCGCCAGGCCTTCCTTGGGCTGCAGCTCGAAGAACCCGCCGGAGATCCCGGCCAAGCGGAACGCCTCCTCGGCGTTCAGTGTCTGCCCTGTGGGTCCCACCGCCTTGGCGTTCGGCCTCCCGGTGAGTAAACCGGCAATGTAGGACAGGGGAACGAGGTCGCCGGAGGCGGTGATCGTGCCGCGGAGAGGGAGGCAGGGGGTGACGTTGTGGTTGAGCAGTTTGGTGATTGTTTCCAGAATCTCAAACCTGATGCCGGAGTATCCCTGGAGGAGGGTGTTGATCCTCACAGTCATGGCTGCCCGAGTTGCCGAGTGGGGCAGCGTGTGGCTTCCCGCAACTCCATTGCCGCCGCCGCCGCCGAATATTCCGGCATTCAAGAACCTGCCGTCCAAGTCACAGATGAATATAATCAAAGCTAGTGGCAGATTCTAGACATAATTAAGAGCATTATTTATTTCTTTGATTGCTTCTGATTGAGATACTTGTTAAGACTATGGGAATGAGATGGAAGAGTTTACAGTTAGTTGGATCACGTGTGAGAATTTAATTCCCCTAACCAAATATTATCGCCACTCATTATGGGGGTAGGGAAACTAAATACTACTCCGTACTCCAGTACTCCCATCCCATTAGCCAGTTACCAGTATCTCATATGGACAACTTTTAATTTTGATAAATGCGCAGAATTAATCCGTCCATCCCATTTTTTAAATTATTTGTTACTTGGTTTTAATTTAACACGACCTTTTCACGCTTGCAAAGATGAAAGTTAGTTTTTATGGTTGAAAGTGTACTTTCTTCCCACCAAAATTGAGTCTAAAGCACTTTTTGGTACACAGAATTTAAACCATGAAATTAGAATTGAGAACAACATTTTCAATTCCACTATTGGTAGTATAAAAATATGTGGATTTGGAATTAGTAGTGTCAAAAATGAATTGGAATGAGAAAATTCAATTCTATCAAAATTAATTTCATAAATTTCAATTCGGTGTACCAGAGAGACCTTAGAATACTTTTTATGTCATGCAATGTAAACAAAATAGCAAAAGAGTGAAACTTTTTACGGTAGAAATCTATATAATGAAACGTTATGATTTACTCCCTACGTCTTACAAAGTAATTTATATTTTTTTATTTAGAAGTCTCAAAATAAGGTTACAATTTTACTCTCTTTTAAACAAGTTTTCAGTTTTCACTTATACATTTTTTTACTTCATAATCTTTTTCTTGAGTTTCAAAAAGTCAATGTTTAGCTATTATTGATGAAATACTAATCGTGTCTCTTTTTTTATAAAGAATTTTTAATGTAAAATAATGTCAAAAGTAGGAGACAATATACACCATATTCCAATAACATCACTAATTACTATTTTTGGTTGACTATTATTTTTGAAATTCTGTTTTAGCAGTACCGAAGGTCCTAATTATTTGTTTTGATTATTTTTGTCAATTATATTGTCTTTTTATTTACACAGTTCAAATTTTAAAAATCATATTTGAATACGTATCCGATTAAAATTAAAATTATAACGTAGCTTCTAAGCTAAAATTAATGAAGTCGTCTCACCTAAAAAAAAAAGAAGAAGTAAGGGTTAATTAAATGAAATATACCTAATGAGCTCCTGCTGAAGAGCATGGCCTTGCTTGGTTCTCCGGTGGGAGGTGGCGCCGAAGCCGGTGGTGACGCCGTAGCTGTCGGTGCCCTTGCTCATGCTGTCCATGACCCAGTCGCTGCTGGCCTTGACCCCCGCCCGTGCCGCCTCCGACAGCTCCACCTTCACCCCGCTGCCGCTGGCGGCAATGGCGGCCACCTGAGCCACGGTGAGCGTCTTCCCGCGCAGCTCCACCGCCGGGTTCCGGTACTCCGCCACCATGCGCCTCACCTCCTCCAAGTGGCTCCCCTTCAGCGCCTCGGCCGCCGCCCCCCAGTTCAACGGGTCGCCCCCCATGCACACCCCGTTCTCCTCCCGGTGACCGTTCTCGTACACGCACTCCATCACCACAATTCAATGTTTTTTTTTTGAAAAAAAAAATGTTGTTTATAAATTATAATAA